TATATATAACCATAAATCCTTTGTTTGTTTGCATACAAATCGACTAATGCTCGGTGTGTTTTGAAGGAACTTTACATGAGTATCTACATATCAAAGATCCATGTAGCAGGCACGCCAACACTACTAGTTTTCTTTCGTTAACAATTTAGTCCTCGTAAGATTTAGCTGGATTTGAAGTTTGAAGGATTATACCAAACCCACACCAAACCCACACATTCTGAAATTTGTTGGGCCGAGTTACATAGTCGAGCTATTCTTCGATTTCCAGCTCCACACTATGCGCTTATATCAAGAAGCTGTGACTGGCTCTGTAGCCGGAGGCATGGGTACAGTGCTTGGCCACCCACTAGACTGTATCAAGGTGCATCTGCAAGCAAAACAGCAGCAGGGATTGACCACAACGGCATGTGCGCGACAAATGCTGCACAACGAAGGCATCTCTTCGTTTGCACGAGGGATTGGTGCCCCGCTCTTGAGCTCGGTTGTTATAAACACAGTTATGTTTGTGGCCTTTGAGGAGGCCGAAAAGCATTTGCCTGACAACATGCTTGGGTCTTTGTTGGCTGGGAGTGCCTCTGGCTTGGCACAGAGCTGTCTCACGACTCCCTTCGATTGGGTGAAAGTGCAGTCCCAGCTACGAGGAGGTAGTGCGACCTCCTGGTTGACAAATGCTCTGCAGCATGGGGTTCGGGATGGATTTTATAGACTCTACACCGGGCATTCGATGAATATGCTTAGAGAAGGGGTTTTCACTGCTGTTTATTTAGGGTATGGCTATTCCAAAGTATAGTCTGAATATGTGGATGTATGTTCTGTAGATATGTTTCTTTGTTGCGTTTCTCAGGTAGCTCGTGTCCAAACACTCAGCATACTCCACAAAATGTGCTTTCCATTTGACGCACGGATCAGCGTTCATTATTTTGTATTTGGCGTATATAGCTATACGTACTATATGCTATTCATTATACATCTATCTATTTACGCAGAAATAAGCTGCCATAAACTTATACTATAATCGGCAACATATTTGCCCAAAATATAATAGCTAGTTTTAAACACAAGTATACGCGTAATCATACATATCCACAGACGAAACCACACACACACACACACACACACACACACAC